CTTAATTCTCGGCGGACACAACATCATTGTTGGTATGTGGTGCTGCTGGGGATCGAACCCGGGCCGCACGCATGCTAGGCGAGCGCGCTACCGCTTGAGCCACATCCCCAGCCCCTGCTGAGTTTTGAGGGGTGAGAATTCACTGGTTGAGCCTGGTTTAGTCAGAAAGATCAGCATGTGCAAGGGTCCTGAAATGGAAGTGTTTGATGCAAGTGAAAATGGACCACCTGGCCAGCGCAGTGGTGCACGCCTGTAACCCAGAAGCCTGGGAAGCTGAGGCAGGAGAATTGCAAGTTCAAAGCCATCTTCATCAAAATCGAGGATCTAAGCAACTGAGTGAGACCCTGTCTCTAAATAAAATACAAAATAGGGCTAGGGATGAGGCTCAGTGGTCAAGTTCCTTGAGTTCAATCCCCAGTACCAAAAAAAAAAAAAAAATTGCTACCGATGCAGCTATGTGGTAGAGTGCTGCCCGTGTGCCTGAGATGTACAAGATCCTGGGTTCAATCCCCAGTACCAAAAAATATAAGTAAATAAAATGGAAGGAAGCTAGTGGTCAGTGAGGCACAGAAAAGCCAAAAAGTGGAATGAGATCAAGTTAGACCCTTCATACAGGGATTTGTGGGCTTAGCTGTGTCTTTCAGTCTTTAACCTGAGGGCACTGGGGAGCCACAGAGGGTTCATGAGCAGGATAGTTGACAGTGATATAATCTAGTTCACAATTGATGAAACTGACTTTATGGGAGAAGAGGCTGCCAGGGTAGACAGAGAATTGAGAAAGAAGGCTGGGGGCCTGGGGATGTGGCTCAAGCGGTAGCATGCTCGCCTGGCATGTGTGTGGCCCGGATTCGATTCTCAGCACCACAAACAAAGATGTTGTGTCCGCCGAAAAACTAAAAAATAAATATTAAAATTTTCTCTCTCTCTCTTTAAAAGAAAAGAAAGAAAGAAGGCTTGGGGACAGGGCTAGTCCCTAACACCCACTCTACTCTCTGCAGGCCCTGTGTACCAAGGTGCCAGAGCTGATCAGAACCATCATGGGCTGGACGCTGGACTTCCTCCGAGAGCGGCTACTGGGCTGGATTCAAGATCAGGGTGGTTGGGTGAGACACCTGTCAACACCTCCCTCCTCTGGGACCTTTAGGCCCTTCCGAGGGCCCGCCCCCTGCCCCAGGGTACCCCTTCCCTTCCCCTTTTCACATCATCAGGTCTGGTCCAGAACATTTTACGTGTAGATCAGTCCAGTTCTTCTGGAACCCGCTGACCACTCTGTGGCCCGTAACTGGATTCTTGCTTTCGTGCCTTCCCATTGCTCTGGAGTCCCTCAAGTTCACTGATGATCCTTTGACCAAGGTCTTTAATACCCACCGTCCATCTTTTTTTCTTTAGTTGTATATGGACACAATGACTTTTATTTATTTCTTTTTATGTGGTGCTGAGGATTGAACCCAGTGCCTCAATGTGCCAGGCGAGGGCTCTCCCGCTGAGCCCTAGCCCCAGCCCCCATGGTAGGCTCTTGCCCCCACTCATACCCTCTGTTCTCAGTCTCCATCACGGCCCACATGCTGGTCCAGAGGTTGACCTTGCTGAGTTCCTGATGCGATGTCTCTGTCTCCAGGATGGCCTCCTCTCCTACTTTGGGACCCCCACGTGGCAGACAGTGACCATCTTTGTGGCCGGAGTGCTCACCGCCTCTCTCACCATCTGGAAGAAGATGGGTTGAGGCCACCAGCTGCCTTGGACTGTCTTTTCTGCATAAATTATAGCATTTTGGGGGGAGGAATGGGGATTGGGGGATGTAGGCATTTTTCTTACTTTTGTAATTATTGGGAGGGGTGGGGAAAAGTGGCCTGGTGGAGGTGGGGGACAATAAACTTCCTTCAGGCCACACTTTGGTGTCTACATCACTGGCCCAGCAGCCTTCCTGGCTGGCATCAGGGTGCAGGCTGCCTAACGGCCTGACCTCCTTAACCCTTTAGCCACTGTCCTGGAGGTGTCTGTGCTGGGACTTGCGTGTTCTCCACTCTCCTCTTTCTCTGGGGGTGCCCAGTGCTATCTGGATTAGGGATGAGTCAGTCCCCCAGTTCCTGTTGTCTAGGAGCCTGAAGTCCTAAGAGGAACCAAAGCTGCCCCATGATTCTGCCTGTGGCGACCCAGGGTGAAGTATGTGCTGACAGGCCAGTGCTGGTCAAGGTCTGAGCACAAGGGGGCCTTCCTCCTGGCCTGAGGTTTCACAACTGGGAGCCCAGGAAGTTGCCAGTTTACTGAAGTGGAGAATAGGGTGGAAGGGACAAAGGACCAGAGGACTCTGGGGCATTGTGGGAAAGCTGCTGGAGGTTGGGAGACAGATGGGGGTTTAAGGGAGAAACCCAGACCTCTAAAGCATGGCTGTGGAGGTGCATGGGACTGGGACTTGGCTGACACAGACTGAGGCTGAGGCAGCAGAGCCTGGGGCTGGCCCAGCGACTCCCTGGGCCCTCCTGGTCCTCAACTTCCAGGTAGCACACAAGTTGGACCCTCACTTGGGGTTTGGTGGTGCACCCTATGATCCTAGCAACTCAGGAGGCTGTGGTAGGAGGATTGTAGGTTTGAGGCCAGCCTCAGCAACTTGGGAGAACTACTATCTCAAAAAGAAGTGGGGATTAGCTCAGTGGTAGAGTGCCCCAGGGTTCGATCCCCAGTATGGCCATCAAATAACAGCAGAGGCACTGGGGAGTAAGGAGAGAGTGGGACCCACCCTAGGGGAGTCAGTATTCTGGGTCTCTGTCTCCCCACCCCAAGATCTGAACCCCAAGTTTTCTGTCTTCCTCCCAGCACCTTTGTTTCAGCCCCTCTTCCACCTGGAGGCCCCTTGCAGGTGTCACGCCTGGGCCTGCCAGAGGCTAAAGGTCATCAGGCTGAGGTCTGAATGCGGTCAATGAGTAACCAGCAATCAAGCTGGCGCCCTGGGCACCTGCCCCTCCCCTGATTCTCCCCATAGACACCAAGTCAGGGGAAAGATATGAGGGAAGACAGCCACCAACCAGAGAGACAGGACAAGGTAACCACAAGCAGGATCCCCAGGAAAGAGCATCAAGAGAACAGAATAAGACCTTGAGACAGTACATACGCAGCAGGTTTCCATCAGTGTGGTGTAGAATGCCGGACCTGGTTCTGCCAGGCCTTTCCAAGAGGGTCACAAGCACAAGGCCGGAACCCGCGGAGGGGATGAGGTCAGCGAGCCGCCCCGCCCCGTGCGCCGCGGAGCCCCTTCCCGCGCTGAGCTCAGCGTGACTCAGCACTGCTCTCGCCTGGCCGCCCGCCCAGACACCCCTTGAGGACCCGATACCTGCCAGGCCCCCATATCTGGGGATCCCAATGTCAGCTCCCCTGCCTGGGCTGCTTCTACTGCTTCAGGACTGCAAAGCAGGCCCTGAGCGCTCTCCCACGCGCCAAGTGGCTTCAGCTCCCAGGGCTCCTGCATTCTGGTCAAGTTCTCTACTCCTGGTATGAACCAGTCCTATCAACACGGACCCGGCACACTTCAAAAAGTATGTTTGACCAAAGATAGACACCCTGTCTGTGGGTCCTCAGACCTTGTTCCTCCAGGACCCAGGGCTGTGCTTTGTGACTGAAGGAGCAGGTGCCAGGGAAGACTCTTGGACAACTTCAGAGACACTGTTCCAGGGCAACGAATGCTCAGAGCCTCTGGAGTTCCCTGTAGAACAGTCCCCAAGGAAAGCCAGTCCCAAAGAGACCCCCCCAAAGAGCAAGTCATTTCCTTCCTCTCCATATCTCTAATCCCAATTCAGATACTGCGCCCGGGGAAATGGCTCCAAGAGGCCCAGTCTGCTCAGGACTCCAGAGGGCTGGCCAGCCTTCCACGTGTTGCTCCACCTTTCCCAAACGCCCGTTAGGATTCCAGAAACACACACACGCGCACACACACACACGCACACGACCCCCACAAAACAAAAACAAAAACCCTGCCCTTCCCGTCTTGCAGATCACTTAAAGGGCTTAAAGTCCCCTGGAGGGCTTGGTAGCAACACCGACTTCTATCATGAATGCGACCCTCCCAGTGAAAATCCAAGGGTTCCAGGTACTTCCCACCCCATTTCTCAAAGATCCCCAGGGTCCCCAAAATACCACCTCACTGCCTTCCAAACTTGGAGACCCTTTGTTGTGCAGAGCAAACCCCAGGCAACTGGAGGTACCCTGGTACCTCTGAGGTACCCCCTCTTCAGGACACCACAAAGAACCACTTTCTCAGAAACAACCTTAGAAGCCGACTTGTTTCTTGAGACACCCCAAGACTTCAGTCATCACTTCATTCATCTCCCTCTTTCCTGAAAGACCCTCTGAAGCCCTTTATTTCCCAGGATCCCCTCCCCCCCATTTCACAACAGCCTGGCGCTCCAGGCGCGTGACTTCCCCACCCCGGGGCGGGGGCCTAAACTCCTATCTGCTTGTCATTGGTCAGGCCCGGCCTTCAGGCCCCGCCTCCCGCCCGCGCAGATTGGCGGACCTCCCGCCCTAAACGCCCCACCTCCCGGCGCCAGCGCACTATAAAACAAGCCGCCCTGCTCGCAGCCTCAACCAACGAGCCTGGAGGTCCCACGGATCTGCTTCTTGCTTCAACAGTGTTTGGACGGAACAGAGCCGGGGACTCCCTTTTCTTCCAGCTTCCCACCGCCTTCCAATCTGATCTCCATTTGCAATCTCCGGGACCATCTGCTCGCCCAGAGCCTGCTTCCAGGACCAGCCAACTCCGTTTTTTGTGGTTAGCTCCTTCTTGACGACCAACCATGACCTCCCAGATTCGTCAGAATTATTCCACCGAGGTGGAGGCTGCCGTCAACCGCCTGGTTAATTTGCATTTGTGCGCCTCCTACACCTACCTCTCTCTGGTAAGGGTCTCTGGTGAGGGGTCCCGGGGTGCCGTCGGCCCAAGTTTCCCCTAACTGCGTACCTCTGGCCTCTGCGCATGCGCCAGCCTTCTTTGTTCCGCTGGAACTCGGAGGGCGGAGTCCCCACGGCTAGTGTCGCCTCGTGGCGACCCTAGCTTTCCCCATGTCTTCCCGCAGGGCTACTATTTCGACCGTGACGATGTGGCTCTGGAGGGCGTGGGCCACTTCTTCCGCGAGTTGGCTGAGGAAAAGCGCGAGGCCTCCGAGCGTCTCCTCAAGATGCAAAACCAGCGCGGCGGCCGCGCCCTCTTCCAGGACGTGCAGGTAAATACCGCGTGTGGACAGCGGACTCCAACTCCCTGGAGGCCGTGCGCGCCCTTTGAGGGGTTGTGGGGGCTTATGGGAGGTTGAGTTGGGTCTTGTGCGGGTTTATTGTCGAGGACCGGGAGGCGCGGAGAACTCCCCAGACGCCACGGTACCGGCCGCTTGGGGTCTAGGTCCAGGTTTTGGGGACCTGTAGCTGTTAGAAACGGGGGGTGATGAATGCCAAGCTCTGTGGGCCAGATCCCTGATCCTCAACAACTGCTGGGAGTTGTAGTGGGGGTGAGGGGCGGGTGGCCAATCTGAAATGTTCGTCTTCTCTTCAGAAACCTTCTCAAGATGAGTGGGGCAACACCCTGGACGCCATGGAAGCTGCCTTGGCTCTGGAGAAGAACCTGAACCAAGCCATTTTGGATCTTCATGCCTTGGGTTCTACCCGCACAGACCCACATGTAAGTCCTCCCCCTGTCTTTTGCCTGGGCAAAGAACTCCCAAGCCCCGTTCCCACATCTGCCTTTGCTAGCAGAGGCAGCTCTCCCTCTCCTCCAGAAATTGGACTTCTAATTTCTCCTGTCCTCTCTCTTAGCTCTGTGACTTTCTGGAGAACCACTTCCTTGATGAGGAGGTGAAGCTCATCAAGAAGATGGGGGACCACTTGACTAACCTCCACCGTCTGGCGGGCCCCCAGGCTGGCCTGGGCGAGTATCTCTTTGAAAGACTCACCCTCAAGCCTGACTACAGGCCCTGGAGGAGTACAGTGGCCTTTGATGGGGCTCCTTTGCATCTCCTGGCATCAGGGCTTTGGCCTGACACTCTCCCTCTAACCCCTAGGCAGCTTTTTAACCACCATGGAGCCCCTCCCAAGCCTTGGACCAAATAAAAATTAAAGCTTTTTCCAGCATCTGATGGTTTTGTGTGTGTCTGTTCTCAACAGAATAGATAAAAACAAACAAACAAGGGCCTTGACCACAACTTGTTTTTCTTATCTATTCTGAGGCAGGATTCCATTTGTTGGGTATGTTGCAGTCAAGGCTTCTCAGTTTGTCTGGCTCAATGTTAACTGCCCCTGCCAGAAGGTGAAGCCAGCCTCCAAGGAGTCTTAACATACAGACCTGGGGTTGGTAGCTGGAAGCAGACACTACTAGAACTCCGCCACCTGACCATGTGTCGTAGTAGGAATTGGACATAGGGTCTTGCTGAGTCCTCCAGGCTTGAATCAAACTAGGAGTTGCTGGGATTACTGGCCTGCACTGCTTCAGTCAGCCTTTTTTCTAGTGTCTGGCACTCCTAGATATGAATTCTACCTCTGAGCTATACCCCCAGTTCCTGGAATGGCTCTGTTCAATGAGTAATAGAGGTTAGGTATCAGACCAAGATCTTAAAAATTGAAGACAAATCCCAATGAGGCTGAAGTAGGAGGATCACAAGTTTGAGGTCAGTCTTAGCAATTTAGCAAGGCTGCAAGCAACTTTTTGAGACTCTGTATCAAAAAATAAAAAGGGCTGGGAATGTGGCTCAGTGGTTAAGGCCCCTGGGTTTAATCCCTGATTAAAAAAAAAAAATAGGAGACAAGTATTTATTGACCCCTTTATATGGGCAAATTAAGGCCATTACCTGGGTGTGATCTCCAAAGGCTATTTTCTACCCCTTGGAGATAATAAAACCAAAAGGCCACACACATAAGAATTATCAGATGAATCTGAGCAGCTGGATACACATGATACTTAAAAGGTTGAGCTAGGGGTTTCGGACTCAGCACTGATATAGAATGTGAGACTTGGGTCCACTTATCCAAGTGGGAACTGAAGAAGCTTAAAAGAGGACTTGGCATTTGCTGGGGCCAAGCCACAAAACTGCTGTGTCAGTTCTGCCACCCTTCATGGTAGAAGAGGCATCTTAAGTGGGTGGTATTTTATCTGCTGTCATCACACTTTCAAGGCCACTCGTGAGGGAGAAGGGAATTGCATGACTGTAACAGAGGCTACCGGGAAAGATGCTGACATATCCAAATCCAAAGCAACTGGAGTTTTCTAGTTTCCCGAGAGGTGATTGGCTCAGAGATGCACATATGGCCTAGTGAAGATTAGAACAAAAAAGAAGTTTGTTTTTAAATAGAGCCATCCAGAGGACAATGAGGCCAAAGTACAGAAACCACAGAGTCCTGGAAACATGCGAAGCCAATCCATCCATCTGTGATGACCACTAGGACAGCCATGGACCACACACTTGGCCATTGAACACTTGCCTCTGATCAGTATTATTAATAAACCATATTTGATTTAATTTAAAGAACTGAATGGTTCTCATGGCTGCCCTGTGGATCTTCTGTCACAGAGCCCCTTCATGCCAAAGATCACTTGCCATTTGTGCCACTTGCAAATTAAGTCCCAGCTAAGCAGTCAGATGTGCCTTCCTTGAACAACACTGGAATCTCAGAACAGCAATCCAAATTGCTACAACAGCATGAGATAAGCGACCAAGGAGGAGGGCAGAGCAGGGACTAAGATCATGAGGTCTGGGGGAGTCAGGAGTGAGGTCTACCAAGTGCTGATGACTGACCATACTTGGAATTCTTAAATACAGATGTATTTTTTTCACCTATGGACACACTCTAATCACACCCTTCCAGCTTCCCCCTCCCAACTGCAAACCAAGTAGTGCTTCAGACACAGCACAGCACACGTGAGGGGCCCCTCCCTTTCACCAAAGCTGGGGGCAGGGCACAGCTTGGGGATGGAAGTGCCTTGAGGTAAATGTGGGGCTTCTAGAACCCAGTGGGCTCAGTTATAGATCAGGGGAAAGGGACCAGGATGCAGCACAGTGGTAAGGCTCCAGATTCAGCAGCTGGGGACCTAGAACCCAGTGGTTTCATGGTGGGCTGAGCAGTTGGGGCAGCTGGGGGTAAGGGTTATGCTCAGCAGAGGGATTCTCTGGAGGGGAGAGAAAGAATCTCTATACACGGAGGAGAGCTCAGACTCAGGGAAGGAGTGGGATCTGGTCCAGGAAAGACCAGAAAGGCAGAAAGGTATCTAGACCACATAAGCATGTGCTCTAGAAAGAATGAGGAACCAACCGAGCGGTTCTGCCATCCCTGGCTTGGCCAAAGTGTGGGGGTTGACAGGAGCAGGGGTGGAGGCAGAACTGGACACCAGAGAGGGCTAGAGCATGAGTCCACCCTGAAGCCAAGTTCTGAGCTGAAATGGAGGACAGTTGGCTTTCAGTTACCTTAAGTCCCTGAAACGGTCCCATTAGCAGGGATACCATATTGTTTACAGCACTTGGTGGTCCTCAGGCCAGGCCTGAGCATGGCATGCTCTGTATGCTGTAAAATTTGCAAGCCACAAAGGGCACTAGGAGACTTGGCCTGGAAAGCAACAGGCCAGTTTTCCTAAAACCTCTGGCACCATGGCAGAATAATGGCAGATTCCAGGCTCTGGGACTCAGCTCAAGCCTGAGGGACTCCAGGGTACAGATAATGCATCCTGAAACCCAAGAAAGGCACAGCATTGTGGATTTTGGAGTGTGGGGACTCCGAGGATGGAGCTGGAGGGGCTGGAGTGTATGGCAGAAGGGACTGGGCTGTGGTCCACACATAGGGTGGACACCACTCAGGATCTGGAGTGGGGTTCAGAAACAACGCCCCCTGCATCCACTCCTCGGAGGAGGGACACAGGACAGGCAGGGAGCGTGGAGTGGAGGCTTAGTTGCGCTCCTCACCCAGTGAGCTGGCAGGGCTGAGGGGTTCACTGGGCGTGCTGATTGAGCTGGAGGGCGCAGTGTCCACTGAGTTGCTGCGCTTGCTCCCGCCCGTAGAGGAGGTGCAGGAGGCCCGGCGAGGCCACTCGGGTGCGCGGATGTTGCGGCGGTCTTTAGCAGCCTCCTCATCCTCATCGTAACGCTCTTCCTCAAGGGGCCCGTCTCGAGGTTCTTCTTCATCCTCACTCTGGTGTGGGCTTGAGTGTCGTGATAGTGACGGCGATGGCGGCACCGAGGCTGGCCGTGGGTAGCGGTACCCCTGGGTCTGCATACCCATGAGTGTGGGCACAACAGACCAGAGTGAGCAGAGGCCCCAGAAAGACACCCCACCCCCAGCCCCTCCCGGCCCAGCTCTCCAGCTCCAGGCTCAGCAGAAAGCATGGATCCACTCACCGCATCCGCCTCATGGGGTTCGTAGGTGAAGTGATCTGGGAAGGCCTTGGCCAGCGCCATGTGGCGTGCAGACATATAGTACTTGGGGTAAAGAAGGGGAGGAGGTGTCAAGAGACGCAGGAGCCAGACCCCGCCCCTGGCAGATCCTGACACCTTTTAATGTAGATGAACACTTGTCCGCACCTTCCAGTATGCTTCTATGCAAATATCCATCTTTCTGGCTTGGCCACACCCCTATGCAAATGGGACTCCGAACCCAGGTTCTTCCTCCTGAAGCTCATTATTATTATTATTATTATTATTATTTTAAATTCTGTACCGGGGCTTGAACGCAGGGGCGCTCTGCCACTATGCTACATCCCCAGCCCCTCTTCATTTTTTATTTTGAGACAGAGTCTCGCTAAATTGCTTAGGCTGACTTTATTTTTTTCTTTTTTTCCCCCCTCTTTCCCCTTCCTCTCCTTTCCCTCCCCACCCCTCTGTCTCTCTTTGAAGTGGGGGGATTGAACCCAGAGCCTTGCTCAAGCTAGGCACACACTCCACTACCACTGAGCTACATCCCCAGCCCAAATGTCTTTTTTTCTTTTATATATTTTTAGTTGTTGATGGACCTTTATTTTATTC